TTTAACTTTCGCCAATTGACGCCGAAATGACCTACGGACCTCCAAATCCACTTCCAGACGCGCTCCCAATACCAGTATCACCATACGGAGCTATTCCCAGACTCGAAATCCCAAACGAACATCGATAACATTGAAATACTCCTCAACCAATATTTATGAAATTCTTTCAAATTGCTAACTTCCACAATAGGTGCCGAAACACTCTCGGGTTATCTAAAATCAGATACGGACATACGCCCAAGTCCGAAATCATCATACGAACCTGTTGGAACCTTCAAATCTGATTCCGAGATCGTTTGCTCAAAAATTCAACCTTAATCAATTTTTCCAACTTAAAGCTTCCAAAATAAGAATTTTCTTTCCAAATAAATTCTGAACCTCCGAAATTTCAATTCCGACCACACGTACAAGTCGTAATACCTGAAGTGAAGTTACTCATGGCCTCTAACTACTGAACGGCGCGCTAGGACTCAAAATGACCGGTTGGGTCGTCACACACACATATAAATAGGCCAAACTCACGAGGCTTACACCTGAGCCTTAGAGCTAACGTCCTGCTCATAATAGGTAAAATACCTCGTTCATATTCCATCTTTTAAATTAAAGAGAAAAATTCCATCTTTTAGAAACAGTACCGATGCATATATAGTAGTTTTAGGCAGAGAAAATCAGAAAAACATTCATTGTCTATATGAATTGCTTTGTTTTTCAATCTCCCTATTTTCGCCACGTTCTTGATGCTGGAGCATTTGACTTAGGATTTATAAGTCAGTGAATTTAAACTAATAGTACTAAATTCTATTTGTGATAATGGATAGAAAATTAATTTAATTATAATTTAATTCATTGTACAAAAAGCAGATTATTGAAACAAATGCTTTTCTAGTATTATACTAAAACTATTAATTAAGTTGCTTCCGCGGAGTTCCGCTTTGTACATTTGTTTCATTTAAGCACAACTCCTACAGGCAGAATAGCAAATGTTTCATATTTTTTGTTAGCATCTTTTTTGCTTTTTTCACACTTTATGTGCAAATCCCAGATAGAACCAAAAACAATTTCATTCGTCTCCTTACAAATTTTCGTTTTCTTGTCATTTCTCTCATTATTAGTACGGCAAGCAAGTGAGGTCGTCTTAAAAATTTGAATGACATTTGCCTTCTGATTAATTGTAATTTATTGACCACTGGACTATTTCTGAAATTATCTCCTCAGCATCCATACAATAGGAAGCTGATTTCTACTGCCTAGGTTAAGTATGCAACTTTTTTCCCGTGTAATTATATGTGGGTTAGCACATGATATATATCTTGTATACTTAAATGTAAGTAAAAGAAAATAGAAAAACATAAAGCTCCAGAAAACCAAAAGATCCCACAATTGAATATGTGAAATGAGCTGGGGGGCCAGTGTTACAGGTGAAGCATATATATTACACCAATACAAATGTGAGCCTTCCTCTCAGATTTGGTCATGATCTCACGAAAAAGACTGGACTAGTAGATACATAGCCTATAAGTACGCTAAGAGCCCGGTTGGCCGTGAAATATTTTTTATTTCTTTCCGAAATCAGTGTTTGGTCATAAAATTTTTTAATTTTCACTTGAAAATAAATTTTAAAATTTTTCAAAAATTTGAAAAACTCCAAAAAGCTGCTTTTCAAAAATTTCACTCAGATTACTCACAAATATTCAAAAATAACCCAAAATTATATTTATGTCCCAGCACTAATTCTAATTTTCAAATATCATTTTTATTAGAAATATTTTTCACTTTTTTCTGAATTTTACAATTCTTATGTCCAAACGCCCACTAAGTTTTCAAGACCTTATCAACATCAAAACCAGCGGCAAATGTACATGCATGTCTGGTCGCATCACTATGGTGGTAAATTGGCAGGTCGGACCAAACTTGAACGGGTCAAAACGAGTCAAATTGATAAACGGGTGATGACACCACCCGTTCAATTAAAATTTATTTGGTTCAAAGTGAGTTGGGCAAGAAGGGTCAAATGGGTGATAATCCAACCTACCCAACATAATTCAACCTCCCATTCTTTTTATTTTAATTCTGCTTTTCGAAACAATAAAAAGAGTGAAAGCTAATGTACTTTTCTTAAATTATTTGCTTAAGTCCTCCCAAATTTACATAGTAATTCCCTATCTCCGAGTTTCATTTTGTATGTTTGGGTTTTAGTTGTATTTTGACCTATCGGGTATTAAGATGAATAAAATTCATTTGTAGCCGGCTAGTGAAAACAATTGTCATTCGCCAGCCGTTAATAAAATAATAATCGAAAAAAAAAAAAAAAATATATATATATATATATATATATATATACAAATTTTATATACTTTTTTTGCTATCGAATGTAAAGAGTTTATGGCGCGAGCTAAAAATGATATTTTGCACCTTAAGTAGTAGGTCCAGTTAGGGGTGTAAAGGAAACCAACAAACCGCACCAACCCGATAATCCGAGTCAAATCGAGAAAAAAATCCGACTATGGTTCGATTTGATTTGATTTGGTGTTGAAAAAAAAATCCGATCATAAGTGGTTTAGTTTGGTTTTAACTAAAGAAAGTCAAACCGAAACCAAACCAACCCGACAATACATATATAGAAATTTTAAATATATTTAATATATAATTGTACTTATTGTGATGTAATTTATAAATATTTCTTAAACTTTTTCATAATTTTATCTTTTAAGGTATTATTTCAAGGTTGAACTTAGAACTTTTGAATGTTCCAATAAGTTTTATAGTTATTAATATTAGTAACTCAAATAATGCTAACAAAAGCCCAAACTAAAATCAAATCAATATTAATGCTAACATAAGATATTCAATTTAATATTAGGAATGATAATGTATTGAATATCTATTTTATGTTTTGCAATGTTTTACATAAAAATACATAACCTATTTTAAATTATTTTTAGCGTTCAATCGTGTAATTAATACTCCCTAATTAGTCTATTTATTTTAGCATGACTTAGTACTTTTAGATTATGTTTATTTTTATTATGACTTTTTAATTAGCAATATTTATATTAAGTGATTTTATTGTTGAATATTTTAGGATATTGCCATGACACATCTCATACTTTGTATTATTTTCTTGGAAAATACCTTATATAGTTGTATCTCACTAGGATTAAAGAAATATTTGGAGCACAAGTTATATGTTTTGTGCTACGAAGATTTTACTGGAGAAAAAATCGAAAAAACTCGAACAACCCGAAAACCCGAGAAAAACCAACATTGAAAAACCCGAGTTTATTGATTTGGTTTGGTCTTTAGATTTAATAACCCAACACAATAGGTTTGGTTTGGTAATTGCAAAATCCGAACCAATCCGACCTATGTACACCCCTAGGTCCAGTAACACTTTGGTAACAATTGTTTTAAAATATGAATCGGGCCTCCAGACATCTCACACCAACCAAGAAAATATCGTAAAAATTGCATGGGGCGCCCTATTTGGTTGCCCCTTTTTAACTTGTACCCATTTTATTTTTCTGTTTGCATCTGTACCCGTTTTTTTGTTAAAAGCATTTTAAAAGATGATTTTGCCCTTCTTTAATAAAAGACTATTGACAAAACTGTAGACTGCATGATAAAATTTCAGCATGTTTTGGTATAAAGTTTTTAGTAAATGAACTAAATAACTTCAGCATGCATTAGCAAAAACTCATTAGAAAATTATATACTGCAAGACAAAAACTTAAGCATGTTTAGTCTGGAGTTTTAGCAAATGAACTAAAAAATTTCAGCTTGTTTAGACTGAAGTTTCGGATAAAACTCATGATAAAACTGTAGACTGCAGGACAAAACTTCAGGATATTTTGGTATGGAGTTTTAGCAAATAAACTAAATAACTTCAGCATGCATTAGCAAAAACTCATTAGAAAATTACATACTACAAGATAAAAACTTAAGCATGTTTAGTCTCAAGTTTTAGCAAATGAACTAAAAAACTTCAGCTTGTTTAGACTGATGTTTCGGATAAAACTCATGAAAAAATCGTAGACTGCAGGACAAAACTTCAGCATGTTTTGGTATGAAATTTTAGCAAATGAACTAAATAACTTCAGTATGCATTAGCAAAAACTCATTAGAAAATTACATACTGCAAGACAAAAACTTAGACATGTTTAGTCTGAAGTTTTAGCAAATGAACTATAAAACTTCAGCTTGTTTAGACTGAAGTTTCAGATAAAACTCATGACAAAACTGTAGACTGCAGAATAAATAATTTTAGCATGCATTAGCATGAAGTTTTAGCTTCAATGTGAAACAACTTCATGCTATATTAGCATGAAGTTTTAGCTTCAACATGAAACAACTTCATGCTACATTAGAATGAAGTTTTGGCTTCAACGTGAAACAACTTCATACTACATTAGCATGAAGTTTTAGCTTGTATTTGATTAAAACTTCAGACTTCAACGTGAAACAACTTTTTTTTATATCCTTCATGCATTAAATTTGAAGTTTTGAAAAGTTTTTGAAGATCTATAAGTGAACTTCATGCTATATCCGTCAAACAACTTCATGCAAGTGTGATTCTGAAGATGAATCTGGTTTAAGTTTCTGATTTTTTATAAAGTTGCTGAGAGGAGAGGAGGAGATCTTTTTTCACGAATGAGGTTGCAGATCAAGCGATTAATGCGTGATGTAGGTTTTATATCTTTTGTCAGGGGTATAACTGTCATATTATTATGAATTTTTTGTCAGTTGGTTACCAAATCAATAATTTTTAAAAATAGGGTACAGATTAAAAGGTGGCACAAATATAGGGTAAGACTGCAAATCCCCTAAAATATCTTAGGTCGACTTGCCTTTTTCAGGCACATGAAAGTAGATTTTGAGGCAGACAACCAATATAATGGAAACAAACGTGTACTTGAGTTAGGAAAAAAAAATTGGACCACTCTTATATATGCCCTTCTCTGCTAATAGTAATGCAACAAAAAAAATTATACGAATTGATAGTAGTCGTGGCCTCCTTCATTCCCTTTCTTTATGTAACGAAAAGAAGCTGGACACGATATTTGTGTTCTTTTTTTCTGTGACATTAATTGGTTCTGTGTGGCTCTCTTTTCTTATCCCTACTACTACAAATATTTCTCCTATAAAACTCATGATTTATATTACAACGTCTTAGCATAGAAATGTCTAACCAAGTGAATTCTGTCCAGCAATGGCCAGAATTCATATTACCCAACTCGTTGTATACCGATAATATTAGAGAACTCCATACAGAAATTGAACATAAATGGGATATGTCGCGACGATCAGCGTGCCAGATTGCAGCAGGAAGGGCACTGTGGAGGCATGTGATAAATGATCCACTAGCTGAGTTACTAGCAGGAGAGACATACCTCAAAAGCTTGTATGAAAAGATTAAGAGGGATTGTCTTAATAATGCAACAGAGGTTTCTGGTGTAATGATTGCTGTTAGAACACTATGGTTTGATAAACAAATTGAAGCTGCTCTTAGTTCCTTTGATGGTGGAGCAACACAAGTTGTCCTTCTTGGAGCAGGTAGGTGATAGAAAAGGATTTAACTTATATATGGTGGCCATGTAAATTTATTCATTTTGCATATACTAGCATGTTTAATTTCCAGGTTACGAATCCCACTTTTGATGAACAGTTACCTATAGTTATATTTTAAGTGACCTGACAGTGTAAAAGTTCTTTTTGTACCGTCTGTTGGGCTAAAATAACTTAAAGATACTCTTAACATAGTGTGATACTGTTCGCTTTGGACCAATCCCGCACGATTTTTCTGAGAAGGCCTCACATCATTAAGTGATCTCTATACCTTATAGGCAGATTCCCAATCTTTTCAGCTTCCAATGTGGGACTTCGTTCGCACACCCAACACTGTCATATAGAAGTTAAACTAAGACAAAAGTTAAACTAAATCAACTAGTATGTCTTACTACCAAACTAGTAAGAGTCGGCTAAATGAATCTTTCATATCTTTACATGCTATTCGGACCACTTTCATTCCAGTGCAGGTAAAGAAACTTTTCCTCTATGGTAAACTAGGAGATGTATCAAACTAATCTCTCTGTTGCATCTTAGGCAAAAGATATATGGATGTGTTCCTTCTTGCAACTCAAAGACAATTTCTTATTGGTTAGTAAACTTGTAGTGACTCATCATGAACTAATTAACTTCAAGTATGAGTATGTTAGTCATTCTATTACAAAATTAACAGACCAATGATTCTGCAAAGACTCAGAACATTAATAAGATGCCATGTTCCAGCTTTTGATCAACCAAAAAGCTAGACGTTAACCAGGTAAGGCACTAATCTTATCAACTAATAGAACTGTTGCGAAAGCCGAATATATAGAGAGTGATTAAATCACAACTACTATATCTAAAGGTAGCTAATAAATAGTAAATGAAACAATAATAAAATGAACACCAGAAATTAACGAGGTTCGGCAAAATTTGATTTTTGCCTAATCCTCAGACACAATCAACTAAAATTTATTTCACTCCAAAAATACAAGTGAAATACTACAAGAGAGAAAGAAGATTCAAATGCCTTAGGAGATAAGAAGGCAAGTGAGAGATGTTTACAAATGAACAAAACCCTTGCTATTTATAGAAGAGAAATGACCTTAATAATGTCATGCATGACATCATATTAAGTGTGAACATGCAATGTAAATGCATGAAAAATGCATCTACCAATTTCTTCCTAAAAGGAGGCTTCAAATATTTACACTAGTTCACATTAATCTTGTTAAAATTCAACAAATCTCCACCTTGGCAAGATTCCACTTTTGCAATTTTCTCTTACTGATAAATTTTGATTGTGTCTTCAACTCCAATCTTCAAAGTTCAACAATGTTGATCAAGTTTAAACAATGTTGAAACTTGATCGCAGTCACTACTTTTGTTAGCATATCGGCATGGTTGTCTGTAGTCCGAATTTTCTGCACCATCACTTCACCTTCTTCTATAATATCTCGTACAAAGTGATATCGAACATCAATGTGCTTCGTCCTTGCATGATAAATTTGGTTCTTTGCTAATTGGATAGCACTCTGACTATCACAAAATAGTGTGATATTTTCTTGACCAATACCAAGATCTCTAAGCAACCCTTGAAGCCAAATTGCCTCCTTTACAGCCTCTGTAATTTGCCATGTACTCTGCATCAGTAGTAGACAAAGCAACCGTTGACTGTAAAGTAGACTTCTAACTAAGTGGTGCATTTGCAAAAGTGAAAACATAACCAGTAGTTGATCTATGCTTGTCCAAATCACCCGCATAATCCGAGTCACAATATCCAACCAGATACTGACTATCTTCCTTCTCAAAAATCAATCCAACATCTACAGTATTATAAATATACCGTAGAATCTATTTCACAGCTTGCCAATGCTCCTTTCCTGGACCATGCATATACCTGCTTACAACTCCGATAGCATGTGAAATATCAGGTCTTGTATAAACCATTGCATACATCAAGCTACCAACGGCATTCGCATATGGCACTCTTGACATATACTCTCGTTCAGCTTCATTCTTCGACGACATAGCAGCACTAAGCTTAAAGTGAGGAGCAAGAGGAGTGCTAACTGACTTCGTGTTCTCATTCATGCCAAATCGATCTATTACTTTCTTCAAGTATTCTTTTTGAGATAGATAGAGTTTCTTTGAATGTCTATCTCTTTTTATCTTCATGCCAAGAATTTTTTTTGCCTCACCTAAATCCTTCATCTCAAACTCCTTTCTTAGTTGAATCTTCAACTTCTCAATTTCCTCTTGACTTTTGGAAGCTATCAACATATCATCAACGTATAGGAGAAGATCTATGAAAGATCCATCTTCAAGCTTGCGCACATACACACAATGATCATATTTGCTTCTTCTGTACTTCTGCCGCAATATAAACTTATCAAATCATTTGTACCATTGTCTAGAAGATTGTTTCAATCCGTACAATAATTTTTCAAGTTTGCACACCATATTTTCCTTTTCAGCAACTTTGAATCCTTCTGGCTGAGTCATATAGATTTTCTCTTCCAAGTCTCCATGTAATAATGCAGTTTTTACATCTAACTGAACTAGTTCCAAATTTAACTGTGCTACCAAAGCCAACAAAACTCTAATGGATGAGTGTTTCACAACTGGAGAAAACACCCCATTGTAATCAATTTTCTCCTTTTGAGCGTACCCTTTGGCCACCAATCTTGCTTTGTAGCGAACATCTTCTTGGTTAGGAAATTCTTCTTTCTTTGCAAATACCCATTTGCACCTAATTACTTTCTTGCCCTTCGGGAGATTGGCAAATTTTCATGTGCAATTCTGATGAAGGGACTGCATTTCTTCATCCATGGCAATCCTCCACTTATCTTCTTCTGAACTTTGGATTGTGTCTTTATAAGTGGTAGGAACACCATCAGCTACAATTGAGGCTGCACAAGCCACCGTCTCTATGAGACAAACATATTTCTTTATTGTTCTTTTTGGCTTGTTGGTTGCTATTGATTCAAGTTGTTGTTAGGGTTCCTGAGTTGGAATTTCCCCTTCCACTGACTCTTCTTCCAGGGAAAAATATTCTATTGTTTCCTCGTTTTCTCCCTGTGTTGGGAAAATTAATTTTCCCTCAAACTCCACCTGCTTTAAAGCACAATCAGTTTGTTTGACATCTTCAAATGTCACCTTATCTGTTATGGCAGATACATCAAAGGTAACATCTCTGCTGAATATAACTTTTCTTGTCTCTGGACACCATAATCGGTATCCTTTGACTCCAGAATTAATCCCCATAAATATAGCTTTCTTTGCCCTCGTATCCAATTTTGACTCTTTCACATGATAGTATGCAATTGAGCCAAGCACATGCAAAAAATTATAATTTTTATCAAGTTTTCCATACCATTTTTCAAATGGTGTCTTGCCTCCAATAGCGGCAGATGGTAGACGATTAATGAGGTAGAATGCATATGTTATTGCCTCAGCCCAAAATTCTTTGCCCAAGCTAGCATTGGACAACATACACCGAACCTTCTCCAGCAAAGTCTGGTTCATGCGTTCTGCCACTCCATTCTGTTGTGGTGTATTTCTAACGGTGAAATGTCTCAAAATGCCATCATCTTCACAAATCTTATTGTAAAGATCATTTTTGTATTCTCCACCGTTATCTGTGCGAAGACACTTTATCTTTTTGCCTGTTTGAGTCTCTATCATCGCCTTTCATTTGAGAAAAATTTTCAGCACCTCATCTTTGGTTTTTATAGTATATACCCACACTCTCTGGGAAAAGTCATCAATAAAGGTTACAAAATAGTATTTCCCACCTAATGAAGGTATTTTGGAAGCACCCCAAACATCAGAGTGAACATAATCCAAAATACCTTTAGTATTATAGATTGCTGTTCCAAATTTAACCCTTGTCTGTTTTCCCTTGACACAATGCTCACAAAATTCCAAATTGCAAGTTTTTACTCCTTTTAACAATCCTTGATCTGATAAAATCTTCAAGGATTTTCCTCCGGCATGTCCCAAGCGCATGTGCAATATCTTGGTTGCTTCTGCCTCATTGTCATCACTGGATGTCACTGTTGCTGTCCCAATAACTGTACTATCGCGATAGTGGTACATGTTATTATTTCGCCGAATTCCCTTCATTACCACTAGTGCACCAGAGCATATTCTCATTACCCCATTTTCTACAACGACTTTGAGCCCCTTTGACTCTACGGCTCCTATAGAAATGAGATTTTTCTTCAATTCTAGTACATATCGAACATCTGTTAATATTCTGATCAAATCCATCATAGTTCCTGTATCGGATTGAACCAATACCATATGTGGTAAGAGGATTTTTATTTGCGGTGTGAATAACTCCACATTCTCCTTCTTGAAAATCAACGAGCCAGTCCTTGTTGGGACACATATGATAGCTACAAGCTGAATCCATCAGCCATATGTCAGATGGTTTAAATGTCTCGGTTGTAACTAGTGAGAAATCAGAGTCATCACATCAGCTATATTTGAATCCATGACAACCTTTCCATTGTTAGGTTTGGCCTTGTTTTTCAACTTTGGACAGTCTTTCTTCCAATGCCCCTTTTCTCGGCAAAAGGCACATTCATCTTTGCTGGGTCTAGATCTTGACTTGGATCTTCCTTTCTTCGTTCTCATATGATTTTGAGAATGACCTCTCACGACCAGTGCTTCTCCTTCTCCACTCTTTTGTTTTTCTCTCTTTCTTTGTTCATAGCTGTACAAGGCAGGACAAATTTCTTTGAGAGACACTTTATCATTCCCATGAAGTAGAGTAGTTTCGAGGTACTCGTACTCATCGGAAAGTGAACTTAATAACATTAAGGCCATATATCCATCACTAAAAATCACGTCCATATTCTGCAAATCTGTCGCCAACTTATTAAAGCTGGTGATATGACCATTCATTGTAGTACCAGGAACATATGTGAAGCGTAATAGTCTTTTTTTCATGTAAAGTTTATTTTGACTATTTTTCTTCAAGAATTTATCCTTCAACGCATTCCACAATTTACTTACAGAAGTTTCTTTTGTGTATGGATACTTCTGTTCTCTTGCGAGGTAAGGTCGAATGGTACCACAAGCAACATGATTGATAATCTTCCAATGTCCTTCTCCGATATTGTCTGGTTTCTTTTCTTCTATGGCAATATCTATCTCTTGTTGAAAAAGGACATCAAGAACCTCAGCTTTCCACATCCCGAAATGTCCTGACCCGTCAAAAATTTTAACTGCAAATTTCGCATTTGACATAATTCTTGTCATAAGCGAAGATGCCAACGACGTATTACTGACACCCGATGTGGACTCTTCATTTTTATTATCTCCCATTTTTGCTACAGATACTATTTATTTGATGACAGTACAAAACACTAAAGTAATTCTTTTCTGATGTGGAAGTTCAGACTATGCTGCAACCATAGAGCATACTAAGATAGAACCTTGGCTCTGATACCAATTGTTGCGGAAGTCGAATATATAGAGAGTGATTAAATCACAACTACTATATCTAAATATAGCTAATAAATAGTAAATGAAACAATAATAAAATGAACACCAGAAATTAACGAGGTTCGGCAAAATTTAATTTTTGCCTAGTCCTCGGACACAATCAACTCAACTTTATTTTACTCCAAAAATACAAGTGAAATACTACAAGAGAGAAAGAAGATTCAAATGCCTTAGGAGATAAGAAGGTAAGTGAGAAATGTTTACAAATGAACAAAACTCTTGCTATTTATAGAAGGGAAATGACCTTAATAATGTCATGCATGACATCATATTAAGTGTGAACATGCAATATAAATGCATGAAAAATGCATCTACCAATTTCTTCCTAAAAGGAGGCTTCAAATGTTCACACTAGTTCACATTAATTTTGTCAAAATTCAACAAGAACTGCAGTCATTCACACCCTAGTGACTGGTAATAAGCAATCTCTACAATCTATAAACGGGTCATGACTATTTAAATTGAAACATTCAACTGGATTCGACATACGTGATGCAAAATTTACTTGCTTTGAGTTATCGCAATAACTAGGGAGTTTGAACTATGAATTGGAGTATCCCAATATAAATGTGCATTTTACTCCAAGCATTCTCAGTTCCTCACCGAGGGAGAACCTTGGCACAATGGCAAGAGTTGTCATTGTTGTGACTAGGAGATCTTCCCGTGGAAACAGTCTCTTGCAACAAATGCAAGATAAGGCTACGTACAAAAGACCCAATGTATTCTGGCCTTTTCCTAAACTTGGTGCATTAGCGAGAACTTAGTATATCGATCTGGCATTTTATATGCTTTCTACCCCTGCAATTATTTGAATAGGGACAGTACACAACAGACCAATAATATCAATCTGCTTATCTACAGGTATGGATACAAGGGCATACCGCTTAAGTTGCTTGAAAGAAAGTGATATTTTTGAGGTTGATTTCCCAGAGGTCTTGCAGATGAAAATTACTGTTCTAAAAGAAGCAAGAAATGATCAAAAACACCCGATGATGACATCAAAATCACTGAAGAGAGTGGCAGCTGATTTAAGAGAAAAGGATTGGCTTAAAAAGCTTCAATCATCAGGATTAGAACTAAAGAAAAATACAGTGTGGGTATTAGAAGGCATCCTCTACTATCTATCACATTCTCATGCAATGGAAGTACTCAATGTTATCGCTAATAACTGTGCCTCTGCTCATACAGTACTTTTAGCAGATTTCATGAACAAGCAATCAACCAAAATGTGCAGCTCCATTTTCCATTTCTATAGTGATTGGCCTGATCTGTTATTGCCATCACTAGGATTTTCTCAAGTTAAACTTTCTCAGATTGGTGATCCAGATGCCCATTTCGGGCTGTTGCATAATCCACTAAATTTGTTCAACAAGTTGCGCAGCTTGCCACGGTCAATACAAACTCATCCTGATGATGGAACACCGTGTTGTCGGTTGTATTTGCTTCAGGCTTCTGGAGCACCACCTATTTAAACTATTCTTTGAATCGTGTTAATTGTTACTAATGGTGTTTACTGATAAGCCTAATTTTCTAGCTAGATTAGAAGTAGGCAACATTATTTATTGGTGCCTTGTGGCACTACTGAAACAATTTGAACTAGTGACCATGTCATTCAAGCTATGTTTACTATATGAATGTTTTATTCTTCATATCTAGATAATACTAAACTTAAATATGTGGTGTATCACATATTTGCTTTAGGATTAATCAATCAACTATGGGTCAATCAAAAAACTTAGTTGGGGGTTCATTAGAGTAGAAGAAATATTTTTCTCATATTGATGAAGCAGCTAAGAATGGGAAAAGTACCTCATACAAATCATGATTCAGTTGAAAATATGATATCTCATATTTATGTAGACATGGTCCCATTTAAGTAGTTAAGAGTTCCAATTATAGCTAATCACTTTGCACTACAAAGTTGTAGTAGTATATCGCGCTGATGAGAACTCTGCATAATCCTTATCATTCTGCATTCAAATAGGCACTTTACTACAGATTTTACTTTTGAGACAACATATTGTTTACTATTACAGTGAAAGTTACGTACGTTGTATGTGACATGGTCATTTTATTAGCTCAGCTTATTATGATAGAATTGTGCAGCAGACTTTTGAAAAAAAAAAAAAGAAGAAGAAGAAAAACAAAATCATGAATTCGTTAGTATCACCATTTGTCTGCTACAAAAGAACCATAGCCATGAAATAAGTACCAAATTGACTTCTGTTTTGAGAAGTCTATTATCGGAGGTAGGAGTGGCAAACAGGCGGGTCGGGTTGGATATGGTTCGGGTAAAAAACGGATAAATTATTCGATCCGACCCATATTTAATACGGATAAAAAACGGGTTAACCGACGGATAATATGGGTAACCATATTATCCATGGCTTCATGAATATGATCACTTTTGGGAGAATTCCTAATCTCCCAAACTTGAGGAACCCCCAATTTGAGGCTTTACAAATGTAAAAGTTAAACTCATTAGTTATCCATTGGTTATCCACTTTCTAAATGGATAATATGGTTCTTAACCATATTTGATTCATTTTTAAAAAATTCGTTATCCAAGCAATTTTTTAGTGGATAATATGGGTGGTTAACTGTTTTCTTTTAACCATTTTGTCACTCCTAATCGGAGGTATTCCGTTGTATTAGAAGTTACTTGAACATCAATTTCTTATGCCACGCCATTAGAGAGCCAAAAGACATGCAACGATGAGCGGGAAAAAATGTTGTCATAGAGAAATTTCTGTCAAATTTCTTCCTCTCGTCCCAGACGTCAAGAGTGTACGCAGATCTGTTGTAAGCGATGTTAATATTTATATAAGAGTGTAAAATAAATAACGTTAATTATCACATTTCTAATTTGTAAACGATAATAGTCGTGCATTAGTTTTGTGAAGTCTTAAGGTAGTGGTGTCATTTTATGGTTATTATTTGTCCTGTTTAGACTAAATTATTCAGCTGCTGAGTCTCTGGCTGAGAAAGCCATCCAAAGTAAAAGATAAAAGCTCAGCTCAACAATGAAGAGATGGAGATGCGGGGGATCGAACCCCGTGCCTCTCGCATGCAAAGCGAGCGCTCTACCATTAGAGCTACATCCCATTTTGCTTTACCTTTAGCTGCTATAACAATTAGTCTTCTTTCACCTGGAACTTGCAAACTACTCCTACCTTGTTCTTTTTTTATCGCTACTTATTTGTTCTTTCACTTTCGTAAATTGCAGTTCAGAAAATTGTGGATAACTTTTCATTACGGAGCAATGACGAGTTTCTTTAATGTGATTATGAAATTTCAAATAATCATGTGTTACGCTTTTTGGTTCAGCAATTTTTTCAAAAATGAAAATATCACCTTTTTTATTTGCTTTTGTCTTGAATTTTGATGGATCTCATTAGCCGTTATATGCTCACATCTTAAGGTGCTGATTCTACCAGTCAAAGACAAACTTGAGCATGTACTCGCCTAATAAACATAATAGGCCTGGTGAAGAATATATGTTACATGATTCTCTCTTTTTCTGAATAGTGGCAGATTTAGTATTTAGACGTTGTGAATTTTAAGTCGAAAATCTAACTCTCCTAATGTACTTTTTTCCCACATATATAAAGGGTTTGATACCGAATCATTGATACATGTTGTATTGAGTTTCTTGAACTTATTTAGTCCACCAAGGGATTTATAGTTCAATTGTATCACTTTTTTTCATGCAATCTCAATATATGAGATGTTGAAACTGTAAATCTAGATTATATAGTGCAGACTCTCGACACAAGTTGTATGCTTGTTATCCATCACATCTGTATTTTGCACACAACCAAGGAACATAGTTTACAGAGTAAAGAGGGGAATACAAAGGACTGAACATCCTTTAATATCAACTTTTTTGTCATCAACACGCCTAACAGGATAAACTTTTGAAAGTTTACAAAGACGAGAGCATTTGTAGCCCATCAAAAAAACGAAAAGAAGAAAAACAGAATACATGTACATGGTGTAACAACATTTTCAAAAATACTAATCCAATTTGATAGGCTGCACAGAGAAGGAAAGAGTTTACCTACCGTATGACAATTCATTCTTGCGTGTAGCACGTGGACCCATGTATCCGTAATGATCATAGAATGGCCGCTCATGTAATAAAAAATCAAAAGCCCTGATACTTACAAAACCATTGTCTGCAGAAATGCATTTGGCATAGGTTAACTGCAAATGATGAGATACCTTTGAACTCACAGGATGGCTAGTTCATGTCCTGTCTTTCTATATCTAGTGTTTCCTGAGGTTCGGGGAAAATCTCACTGGATGATCTCTTACACGACGATGAATGCTCATTCCCACTGCTATGAGAATGAGATCCTACTCGTCCTGACTGTTTTAGGTAGTTCATACCCTCTTTGCTTGTTTGGCCACTGGCATTTAAACTATCTTGAGAGCTATGGTGCCAACTACCAAGAAAAGCAGCACTCCACGATCGCCTCAATGAAGTTGTCTGTAGCCTTGTAGAGTTGAAACTTCCTTCCCTAACAACCTTGAAAGGGTTCTCTAGTGCTTTTAGGACGCGTCTCATTTCAGGACGTTTGGAAGGCCTCGGATGAAGACATGCTTTGGCTACTATAGCTACAGCCCACATCTCTTCCAGTAAGTCCTCATCTAGAATTAGAGATGGATCGACGATGTTGGCCACTAATTCTTTCTCCCGTATAGTGATGAAAGGAAGAAATTTGTCCAACCACTCCTTGGTTGAGGCATCATCTGACTGGCTTATGCCAACCTTACCAGTTACAAGCTCGAGTAAGACCTTCCCGAAACAGTATACATCATAAGTGCAACTTGTAAATGAAGATTCTGTTCATGCATAGGGCCAGCATAAGAAGTTGGAATAATAACTCTAAAATCCAACTATATGGTTTTACGAAAAGAATATTACATACCAGCAGTGTCTCCCTCAGGATTCCTGTATATTGTCAAGAAGAAATGTCTTAGAACATTGAACAAAAAGCAATATGAAGAAGAAGTATTCAGAGTCTGTGGAATCTAAATACATGAACTAACTTTTGTCAAATACATTAGGTAAAATTTAAGGCTATTACATATCTGACAAATCGGGAATTAGAATTACTAAACATTTACTAGGAGTAGTACTAGAACTTGTTTTCCTCAGTTTTCCAACTTGCAGGCCTATATTACGAAGGTTAATCAAAATGATTCGACAGACAAGCAGGAGCATCACAAGGCTAGTCAGCAACTTAGAAACAGCATTTTTAAAGCTAGTATTGAGAATGCCTTCCAAATCTTGCAAAGTTTAAAGAAAGACTCAATGGGTAACTGGTCATGAAACATGTACACATTACATAAAAGCATTCATAGTTTCTAAAAGGAAATGCTATAATTATAAATGGCAGGAAAGACGACACAACTTTAACATATATTTAGAAATTACTTACTTTGGCATGCGGAAGATCTTTGTGATCAAATTGTGATTATCACCTTCCTGTGCACACACTTCGCTCAAACTTCCCAGCCTTACTTCAAATCTATCGTCGAGAAGGATACTGCTAGCTTGAACATCTCTTCAACCAGAAAATACAGAAAATAATTAGCTTACTTTACAATAACTGAACTTAATAATGGTTCTGTTACAGCCAAAAATAGAGAATATCATCATTTGAAGAGAAAAACAAGAATGCCAAAATGTGAAAGAAACAAATACCTGTGAACAAGGGGAGGATTACACTCATGGTGTAAATAAGTTAAACCTTCTGCAGTTCCTATTGCAATTTTTAATCTTGTAATCCAATCCAAAGACTGTCGATTTTCGTCTTCTATATCTCTATCCCTGGACAACAAACTGAACAAATCTCCATTGCGCATATATTTGTAGACCAAGAATTTCTCATTCTCAGGCTCTAAGCAGTGGCCCAATAAAGGGACAAACCTATGGTGTGTTATCCAGTTTAACAAATCCAACTCCAACTTGTATGATTCTTTTTCAGACTGAAGTAAACTAACTTTCTTGATAACTATGGGAACAACGCCTTCCAATATTCCCCGGAAAATGTCTCCAGTGTAACCGTGCTTGATAAGGTTTGTTTCATTGAAGTTGCTTGTGGATTGGAGTATCTGTTCATAAGTAAATGATTCGACCGAACCAGATATTTCACTAGAGAACTTCACAGGTGCCTGATTATCTCCTTCCACGACAGGACTAACGTTCGAATTGCATCTTTCATTTGAATTTCCTCTGTAGCATATCTTCAAAAACAATAGAATGGCTAATGCCAAAAGCATAAGAACCCCAAGCCCACCAAAAACTCCAACCATTATAAGAAGGCGCGTATGCCCTCTCTTTGAAGGTCTTTCTGCTGGAGTTTGGCTTGTGCCATTGGTGCCGCCATTGACAAAAACTAGACCCCTATCAGCATAAAATTTACGACAATCTTCTGAACTCCTCTGATTCAAAGACCCTGTAAAGCAATTACTCATAACTTGAATGCCAGAAATAGTTGGTGCTAATCCTTGAAAATAGTTGTTGGACAGATCAATTGATTGAAAATTCTGAACAACAAATGTCACATTTCCAAAGAAGAGATTATTTGAAAGGTTATATGAAGCACTATTGGCACTAAATAAGGTAACATTTGAAACC